GTATTTGTTAAAGCTCAAGGATAGGATCACAGTAGGTTTTGGAGAGAAACACTGAATGTAAACATAACTTTTGTTTGTGTACAAGAAAACTCCACAGGGCACCTTACATCACAGTCAGCTCCCACAGGGTCTGATCTCACAAGACAAAACCCACAAAAAGATGAAAGACATCAAAGAAATTCAATAAAGTCGACACCTGTTGCCTGTAAAGGGTCAGTTTGTCATCCATGGGGTCATTTCTCATCATTCTCTTCTCAATCAGCTGGGTTATCTGAGAATCGACTTCTTTGATCTGTGAACATGACAATTACAGAACAACATCAGAATTTAGCAGCGTATCGAAGTATACACGCTGAACACCAACATACCACGTCCTGACCTTGTCCTCCAGCTCCTGGAGATCAGCCTGGCCCATGGCAGGCTCCGACGCTATTTTCTGCAGGTACTGCACTGTGCGCCTCATACCCTCCAACTCTTTGGGGAGTTTCTCAGAGACCATGTAGGAGTTGATCTTGATCTCCTCTTCAAGCCTCTTCATTAAGCCTGAAAGAGACCAAGCTTTTAATTAAGCACTTTGAGCTTAATGTGTTTGAAACCTTATCAGGCTTTCCACAGCTCTGATTGCTTCAGAAAAGCTGAATATCACTTATACATGCAAAGCCACAAAGCGTATGACAGAAACAGTAATATCTTCTACTGACATTGAAACTTCGATAAAATGACTCATTCTGAACAAAAGCAACCCACAGTACTTGTGATAAGTGACTTTAATTGTGCAGCTCCACCCTCGTCTGCATTGCATAGGTCATTTTAGAAACTGTAAATGTGTAAATCTCTTCTCTGGCTGAAGAGCCCAATACCAGATGAGAACAAAAGGAGACAATTTCAACATCAGATAAGCTCTATTGTAGCACTTCAAAGATCAGTATAATTAGAGGATCTCAAAAGATGAATGCCTATTAGCTGAGAGACCCCCCTGCCCCCCCAACGCTCTGCTGTGTCCTTGAACTACCCATCCAGCTGTGCCCTGCAGAAGCAACAGCAGGACATGGGTACTCACTCTCTGGATTGGCATCTGCTGCTGCCTGTCGCAAATCCTTCAACTGCTGCTGCGCTCTCTGCAGTCTCTGCTCTGCCTGGAACAGCTGAACACACAAAATGATTGCTGATACAGGTAATGTGGGATCATTAACATTTAGTGTCCAATGATAATGAGTTTGTACAACATTAGGGCTGCAAGTAGCAACTGTTTTCATTAGAGATTCATCTTCTGATTATTTTCTTGGTTAACACATTAAAGGTTCAGTGTGTAACATTTAAGATGATCTATTGGCAGAAACAGAATACACAGTAATATTTGTAGGTATGTTTTGATTGAGTGTATAATCCCTGGAAATGAGAAACGTTGTGTTTTCATTACATTAGAATGAGCCATTTTTATCTACAGAGGGAGCAGGTCCTCTTCCACAGAGTCATGTCTCTACAGTAGACCAGAACGGACAAACCAAACACTTACTCTACATGCTTGGAATGGGAGGGTGAGACGAGGGGGTTGTAATCTGCAACTACACTGCTAGATGCCACTAAATCCTACACACTGGTCCTTTAATTGTTTGGTTTATAAAATGTCAGAAAATAGCGAACAATGTACATTGAAGATTATCTTCACATTGCTTGATTCAGTAAATTAATTCAGTGTGATATCACTGAAGACAAAGAAAACCAGCACGTTTGAGGAGCTGGAAGTAGTGCTTTTGTTTGACATTTTGAATTATCAAAATTGTTGCCAATTAATTTTCTTCCAGCTCTCTTCAACATCTCAATTAATGTATTAGAAAGTCTCCTAACACATGCTTGTTCTTCTCAAACCCCTTTATAATCTCTTTTACATTATTAATCATAATGGTAATACTAATATTTGAGAAAAAAAGAGCTACAACACAGAGAGATATTACATGTTATTCTTTCTTTCCAGTCTTCCAAAGCACAGCAGAGAGCATAATGCTGAACTTGTCTATGATGTGTTAGTGAATAATACTAAGGTGAGCAAATATGATTGTGAATGTGAAGTATTTACTTGGTTCTTCTGTTCTTGCTTCTGGTGAGTCAGTGCCTCCTCTCTCTCCTTCTCCACTCGCAGCTGTCTGGCCTGTTCCAGCATCCGTTGATGGTTGGACACTGACTCCACCTAGTGGATGCACAAGTTAACATGACAACATCTGATTACAGGGCGGCAGAAATAACCGAGCAAGTCTAAACAGAGTCAGGTTTCACCTTTTGGCAAGCCTGCAAGTAAGGCCCATTAAATCAACACCTCATTATTTTACAACCTTGTTAAGACAACCATGCAGCCTGTCAAATCCCTGTCAGGTCCATTACAGAAGCTGATAATATATGTCTGAGGTCATGTTTTCATTCCTCAGCGAATCCTAAAGCCTTTCAAGCATTAGAAGAGCGAAAGGAAGGAACAGCCAGCCTTACCCTCTTCTTCAGCCTCTCCACACGTTTGATTAGTTGGTCTTTCTCTTCCTCCATTGCACTAATATCCTGTTATTGGAGAAAAAAGGGATTATATTAGTGTATTTTATCAACTAAGCATATTATTCACTAAGCTAAAACAAAAAAACACAACTCATGTCAATTTGTTACAGTCTTTTACTGAGTAAAGCTTATCATTAACAACCTCTAATAAACAGTGATTGTTAAGAGTGTTTGAGTGATTTTTTACCCTTCTGATTTCTGCTGTGGAGAAGCCAGAAGTCCTCAGCTGCTCACACTCCTTGTGATACGTTTTAAAACCTTCCACCAGCTCTTCGTACTGCGAACACACAACATTAATGCATAACCTTTTTTGCCTTTTAGGTTATTAGCGATTTCGAAAAACTAGGAAATACAACGTAGCGCTGGGTGGTATAAACATAAATTTGTATCAGTGTTTTTTAAGATTCTGGCGATTTTAAGGTACGTCACGCCCCTCACTATATTTTGTATCCCCATGACTGGGCATTTATATAGGTTTATAGTGGCTTATTCTACTGTCATAAAGTACATAGAATATACAGTATATACTGAAGGCTTTACTTTAGGGCTTTCTTGGTCCCACAAAATGATACAATGACAGAATCTGAATGCATGACAGTTTTTATTGTGCAAACTGCAATGTAGTAAAAAAAACACTTCACTAGCTTCATAATGAAAAAAAAACTTTGTATAAACACTATAAACTGACCTAAAATACTTAGTATTTAAGTATTTACAATTTCCAAGATGTTCTATTGCAAGTAAATGATAAATAAATTGTCACAAATTGTTGTGTACCATGGTGGTTTGCCCTTGAGAGTTAGTTGTGGTTTTTAATTGTTGTGTTATAAAGTTATAACCCTTGGTGAACTCTTCACAGCAAAAACATTGCATTCAACTATGCACTGGTATAGCAAAAAATGTATATCATACAGAAAATTAAAATCAGTATGTGTAATATATTGCCAACCTGGTGATAGGTGTCATTGATAACATCCTCCTGCAGAAACTCTGCAGGCACCTCCAGTTTGACTAGGAAGCGAGCCAAATAAGCCCTTTTCTTCAGTTCAGGGACCCTCTGTAGGAGCCAGTGGAGGATGGGGTGGACCACGGGCTTACTGCCTGCCACCAAACCTTGTCTAAAGCTGCTCCTGCATGAGAGAAGGAGAGCATATGATGAAATTACAGACATACATAAAAATGCCTCACTAACGTTACATGAGGAGTGGGAATTCAAATTCTCACTGAATATATTTACTTACACATCAGAGAGGTTGCCAGGAGGTTTGTATTTCAGCATCCCCAGCAGAGCACACATTCTCTTTATGGTCTGTTCAGGCATTTCTTCACGGATATCTATAGCTTGCTAAAGACAAGAACAGCAATGAATACAGTCGTTCATGAACACCACACACTGGCTGACAACGTTATGCACTGTTTGCAGTCTGTCCAGTCGTTGAAGTTAGTGTCCCACCTTTGGGTCTATTTCAGCCAGAACATCGTTTAAAATCTGCAGCAGCTGCATCGGTTCAAGGGAGTCAAACGTGATGAGGTTAAAGTTTTTCTTAAATGGGTCTTTGTTGAGTTGCTCAACGATGAATTTCAGTTGTTCACTCATCTTGAACAATATGAAACTAGCTTGCTTGCTGTAAGTTCGCTAATTATTTATCTTCTTTACTGGATTAGCCAGCTAACGTTTGGCTAACTAACGTTAGCTCCCTGTCGTCGACTAATAAGAAATCCAACCTGCAAAGAAACCTTTAAAAACAATATACCCGACTTTCTGGAGGCGGTGGCAAACAACTATTAACAAATGATAAAGACAAGTTTCCAATATATGTGTTAGTTCGCCTTGTTAACTCTTCAACTTGCTACCGTTAGCTAATTAGCGGACAGAACGGCAGCGGCTGTTGTCAACAGCCCCATGGAAACCACGACGGCGTCGCGGGTTGGTTGCTAACAGGAAGTAGCGTTGACGAGCGTTAAAGCGAGTTTGGTTGCGCTAAATGTGCGCAGATTGCGTTGTCGCTTGATTCGACTGACAGACGAGCACAGAAACGATGAAAGTTCAACAATATGTGCTTTGTGGTCGGGTAAAACACCAGAGACCTACTGTTGTGTGCGGTTCTAGTTATATTTAATTCAATATGACGCAGTGTAGATTTTCATTGAAGCCGAACATCATAAGAATTAAACCAGGTTCCATTCCTGTCAGCTATAATAAAATAAAATGATTTGACGTTACTGCTTAGTTGATAATGGCCCCGAAAATGTGTTCATAAAAGAGTTCATGTGTTTTGACAGTTGTGTATCTTCTCTTCGCCTTTAATGGTAGATTAAAAAAAACTGCACAACTGCAACAATAACACGTCTAGATAGTAACGTTATTAAATCTGCCGTGTAAAGTTACCAGTTACAGCTTCTTCACGTCGTGTACTTGAACGCACCTCCTCTGTCGGCCTGAACTTTTGAACCGTCAGATGGCGATATTCTCACAAGACTCGGCTTCACGTTGCAACACAATGAACTTTGGTAGGATTAACCGGAGTGCTCAGAGAACCACTGAAAGGACAAGTGTGCTGTTTCAGAATGAGGCATGTTCAGAGGCAAGGCTGGGCAGGAGGGAAAAATTAAGCTAGTTGGTTTCTTTTAGAGGATAAAAACCAAGGCTGGGTTTGAGCAAGCAACAAAAGGATAGTTGTTTTCAAAGTCGGGACCTCGTTTTTCTTCTTCCACCTGAACTGTAACAGCTTCAAGACAACACCTTCCCGAACAAAACCTTCCTGTTCGACCCTCCGTGGGACGTTTTCTGCCTTTAAAGTGTTAGTTTATCTCCCATATGAGACCATGAGGGTCTCATAGCTGTCATAGGTACATTTCTTCAGGAACATCTGTTCTGGTGAATTTCCTCTGGTCGGGATCAGCTTTTCCTGGGAAACTGTTTTGGATCAGGAACAGCATTTTGACAGATCCTCATTGTTTTTCTGTGTTTATCTATTTGGAGTGTAAATCACATCCATGTAGCCCCTCCTCTTTCTGCAGACACTGCTGACGGAGAGCCAAAACACCAGAGAGCTGCGAGTCAGTCTCACACACACACACAAACACAGAGGAAGACAGAGGATCTCCAGAGAATAGACGAGCACCAGAAGGGAGCAAGTGCGACAATAAGGATAAACTCCCATTTCTTGGACTATGTCAAAAGGCGTAAAGAGGTTGGACCAGTGATCTTTGCTCTGCAGGATTTTATTCTCGTGCTTGTGAGTAAAGACTGAACTAACAGGTTTTCTTCCCTGTAAAGTGGATCCTTCCTTACTCTGGAGAACACTCTTCCTTTCTGTACTGTAGCACTATGGACGCTTTAAGTTGTAAACAGTCCAGTCCAGTTTGTGCTTTAGACATGCATGTTTGTGTTGTTGTTGAATAGTTTATGTCAGAGTAATAACAATGGTTGAACCAGTGGGGTTTGTGGAGGCATGGAAAGCCCAGTTCCCTGAGTCTGATCCCCCTTGCATGGACCTGACCTCAATGGGGGGCATTGAACAGGAGCTGGACAAATGCAAGGTATCTATCAGGCACTTGGAGAAAGAAGTAAACAAGGAGCGCTTTCGGATGATTTACCTGCAGACTCTGCTTGCAAAAGAGAGGAAGTCTTATGATGGGCAGCGATGGGGATTTAAAAGGACGCCCCAGACAAATGACGGAGACTTTTCTGGTGGCCCAGAGAGCCAGAGGACCCCCACAGATAAGGCCCCTGAGGAGGAGCAGCAGCTAAGAGGGCCTGGCAAGACAGCCAGATGTAAACCGCATCCTGAAGGAGAGGTGGATGGTGCATCCCCAGCCAAACAGAAGGGTGGAGTGACACCCGTCCGACAGGACTCAGAGATTCCTGATTTCCCGTTGGGCACAGGCTCGGTGGCAGCTCTCAGATCCAACTTTGAGCGCATCAGGAGAGCCAACTCTCACACAGCCGGGGATGGCAGAGGTTTGTCAGTGATGGGTGGCCAGGAGAAACCTTTCTATGTGAACATGGAGTACCATCATGAGCGAGGGCTGGTCAAAGTCAACGACAGGGAGGTCTCAGACAAGATCAGCACCCTGGGCTCTCAGGCCATGCAGATGGAGCGTAAGAGGTCCCTGCACTCTCTCCCAGGGAACCTCTCAGCCGCCACGGGGGACATCAGCAAGGCTGTGCAGAGAGGCAGATCCACTGAGGGGAACTGCAGCTACAATGGGTCATTTGATGACGCCGAAGTCCACCCACACTTCCTGAAAGACAGTGTGCTCCGTTCCACTGGGGGAAAGTCTGATCGGCAGCCAGCAGAGTGCCAGCCTTACACCAGTGTGTATGTTGGGGGAATGATGGCTGACGGGGACACTCGAGTCATCCACATTAGGGACCACAGCATAGAGGAGGATGCACACCTCACCTGGCCGAGGCGCTCCTACTCTCCCGGCAGCTTCGACGATGTAGGAGGAGGCTACACACCAGACTGCAGCTCCAACGAGAACTTAACATCCAGCGAGGAGGACTTCTCCTCAGGCCAGTCCAGCCACGTGTCTCCCAGCCCCACCACTTATCAGATGTACAGGGACAAGAGCCGCTCACCCTCCCAGCACTCCCAGCACTCCTTTGACAGCAGCAGCCCACCCACACCCCTGTCTCAGAAACGTCTGAAGCAGCAGGTGACGGTGTCTGAGGCCTCCATCGTTGGGGTCCGCAAAACGGGCCAAATCTGGCCCAGTGATGGGGACTCCACCACGTCCAGCAGGACCTCTCATGACAACAGTGTTCAAGGAGATCTGGGTAGGTCACACTGCACAACACAGGTGTCCTTCAAGCCTTTCCTTTTTTAGGATTAGAAACAAAAGTATTCTAATGTCTAGAGATTATAAAGTACTAAAAAGCATGTTAAAGCCCCTCTCTAATCACTGTCTGAAAGATGTTTCCGTGGCTGGCCTTCATCCAGAATAAGTCACTGATGAGTAAAATGCACTTGCAATCTTTTTAACGCCTAAAACACGCTTTTTAACGTCCTAATATTTTGACCCCAATACACTAAATCCATCTTAAAATGTTTTCTGGAGCCAGGATTATCATGCACTTTATTTATTTAACACATTTCTTGTTGTGTTTTTGTCATTCTCTTGGATTTCAGCTGGTTTACTTGAGTGGAACTGAGCCATTATGATTGAAGTGGCCTATAAAAAAAGGGGCCAGGTTTGATAGAATTCCTCTTCTTGTCCCGTTAATGAGAATTTTATTTTATCTCCTTGCAGCTTTTATCCATAGTGAGTGTGTCAGGAGTGTTAACCCTTTCCAGTTAAGCACTATTAGCTTTTTTGCAAGAAGAGACTAAACAGGTTTTCACAGGTCGGAGCTTGCAAAAGTCAATAGTCCATGAAGGGGTTGGGACTGACAAAACTAACTTCACATACGCTAATTCTTAACAGTAACCCAGTGGTTGGGCCATTCTTTCAGGAGTGCTTTCTTTACCCTTTGTAAGCAGGTCTGCCCTCTCTTTTTCACCCCCTTCTGCTCTTTGCCCACTGAGTGCTGCAGCACTCTCACAGAGATGTTCTGACTGAGACAGCGACGGCCCCCAGGCTTCACAGTCGCTCGGCCCTGTCCACCCTGAGTGTTTTCGTGTCAGCACACATCAGTGTTGTTGTCCTTGGTGCAGAGTAATTAACTTAAAGGGGTTTCTCTAGCGTGATAAATTTAGGGAGGCTCTTTGTTACGGGAGGCGGGTAGGAAAAAGCCCTCACAACACTCAAAAAAGAGGATCGAGGGGCTTAAAGTGTGTCATGCGGCTTCCAATCAAAGTGCCTGCCATCAGTGTTTCCTGTTGTTATGTGTGAACACAATAGGAGAATCATTCATTGAGAAAGAGTATTGACATGTTAACAATATAACAATGTTAAGTGGGATAAGGAGAGTGGTCTGGGCAACTTGGCAATGCCAAGGACAGAAGGAGAGGCGGGAGTTAGTGTTCCTCTACGAGAACGTTTGTCAAAGTGAATGACAGATGAGGACACATACTGTTGAGGCCAAAGAGAGATTGGGATACAGAGCAAGTATTAGGATTGGAGCTGGAAAATTGTCTGCCTCTACCCCATCCCAAAAAAAGTGTTATCCACTGTGGGTCAGATTAAGCAGATGAGCAGAATAGTGTGTTGTTATATAAGGTGATCCAGTCCAAAGCTCTTTGACACAAAGCATGTGACAAACAAGCAGATAGTCTGTGATATAATCAGCATGAAGTGTAAGCTAGCACGCCGCTTGCATGACTGAAATGTCCAAATCCATTTGACCTGTGTTATTCCACTGTGTCATCTGTTGCGCAGTGCTGCTAACGTACTGTCAAGATGTGTGTTTTTTTTCTTCTCATAGCTCCACCTTCTGTTTTGCAGAAAAATAACGAAGCACAGAAAGTAAAGAATTAATACATTTATGACAAAGATGGCCTTGCCTGAAAAACAACAGAGCTGATTTCACCTAACTAACTGCAACTGCGAGCTCCAACAATTTGATATTGCACTTTCAAAAAATGAGGGGACTTGAGACGGACAGATCAAATAAAAAAATGCTCCAAAGTGATGCAGCAGAAGTTGACATATCCTGACTTTTAGTCCAAAACACTCAACCCTATATTTCTATCCTCTTCTTTGCTCCATGCCCCCCAGTTTGTAAGGCAGGACATCGTCAGGGGGGATTTTCTCAGGCTTGACAGAGAACAGAAGACATTAAACATCCTGGCAAAAAAAGAGTTAACTCAAGGTGTTCTTACTAGCTTGCAACTCCATCTGAAGACCTTTCCTGGTTGTCTAGTCAAGTCAAGTTTTATTTATTTAGCCCAAAATCACAATTTGTCTCAACATTCAACCTCCCTCCTTAGACCCCCGATTCGGGTAAGGAAAAACTCCCGCAAAAGAGTACCACAGACAATAAATGTGGAGTGTACAGAACAAACCAAGAAATGAAAGAACAATGAAAAGAATACAGATATACGCATGACTGAAAGCTCTGGAAAAAGCTTATAAGTGGAATATGAAGGTATTTGTTTGCCAAACTACTATTTCTATAGTCCAGAATATTACACAGCTGCTTTCGTAGGCTGAGTAGTGCATCCCATGACCAGTAAACAGACCATTAAAGTGTACAATCTGTGGAGTTCCCCTTTTAATGTACCCTGTCCTGACACCTTCTGTTTAAAGCCACCATGCTGCAGAGCCTGAGGTGCAGCTTTTGTCTAGAGGAGACTTGTTGCTGACATAATGGCACAGCTGCCTCATGTGGACCTAGCTTTGTGGATTACCAGAGGTCTGGATTTATTTTCTGATGTTGTAATAACATTACTGTGCACGTTGCTGGATTAGGCCTCGGGCAGGGAGCCGGTTTGAAGCAAGTTTTTGCAATAAACTGCTCTTTGTTGTGGTTAGTGACTTTTAGGGAGCAGTTGGAAAGTTTTATTTTGTTGTATTTATCATAAAGCGCTGCGGCTCTCAAATCTATTAAACTGTCCTAGTAAAGCTAACTTAATCTCAGTGTTGTAAAGACGCTTTGTGCTCCAGTTAGCCGAGTGTTACTGTTGGACAGTATAGGACACGTGACAGTGGTTACACCTAAATTACGCTTTCTGGACTGTAAGATTTGGTTTGTATGTTAATGCTCTGCAGCCTGTCATGGAATATATGAATGCTGTAGCAGACTGAGAATTGACGTGGTCCCTGCTGGTGTTGTGTGAGCGTTTTAGTGTCTGGCATGGTGGCAGCTTGTCTCTGCCTGGGAAAAATGACTGACTTACCATTAGAAAAGCCTCCTAACTGACGCGAACAAACCTGCGCTTGTCCTCCTGCCGTTACACCGCTGCATCGCTGCGTGAAATCTCAGTGAAATGGCCAGTCTAAAATGGAAACATCTCAAGGGACTTTTTTCTATGAATAGAAGAATAAGTGTTGTCTCCTGGTTTCTGGTTATCTAGGCCATTTGTCAAGCCTAGCTGTGAAGAGCCGCTGATTAGCTGTGGGCCTTTAAGGAGGCCAACTCTCTGATGGGTCTATTTTGCCATAATTAATTATCATCATGACACTGACATGCCCGTGGCCACAGTGTGTGTGTGTGTGTGTGTGTGTGTGTGTGTGTGTGTGTGTGTGTGTGTGTGTGTGTGTGTGTGTGTGTGATATACATTGTCATGGTTAATGTAATACAGCGAGAGGGTACATAGAGGAAGAGATTGGCCAAAAGGGAAATAATAAATCTCACCATTAGTTTAATCATAATCCCTCTGTAAAAATCAGGACATTGTCTTTTAGGATGCATTTAGCTGAGCATGCCTCTGTGAGGACATGGCACAGTTTCTGTAGGTAGACAGTTCTGTCTGGGGTGGCTGTGACATTAATAGAAAGTGTCTGTCTGAAAAGGTGATGAAGTCTGTCTGAATGTCTTGGCCTCAGTTCAGAGGTTGGTAGTTGCTGCCTCAGCAGGAGTCACACCGGTGCTGGTCCGCACTCCCGGTTAATTGCAGACTCATGAATATTTGAGGTCCCTCAAGGAAGCCCAGACAGGCCTATCATTGTACCTGGATATCAACATCTGAGGTTTAGTGGTCAAGGAAGCTAAAGTATTCGGCCTCACCCTTTCCTAGAGTAAATGAAGGACTACAAGAGGAAGTGCTGGCAGCTCTCGAGGGCAGCCAAGTTTGCCTCTGTGTGCATGTGTATATGTGTGTGTAAGTAAGACACCTGTTCTTCTGTGCAGTGTGCTGGGTAAAGTGGTCAAAAGCTGGCAGGCCATCAGTACACCAGGCCAGGCATCGCCAGCTGCTCTCGCAGTTAAAGCCATGAATAGCCTTTTTGTTCCTCTCTGTCAAAAAACAGAACAAAAACTCTTGTTTAGAAATGAAATAGACTGATCCACACTAGATCATCATATTAACTCTTCTATTCACATACTAACATACACGTTTTCATATATAAGCCTTAAATAGAAAAAAAAGTCTTTGGCATGTTTATGAGCCTGCGGGCCTCCTCCGGCTCAGTGATCCTCCCTCGTGCTCGGCCTCAGCCCTCTGGTCCTGCAGTCTCAGCTCCCCTCCCTGGTCCCACTCAAAGGGCCCTCTGTGCTTGATGGCTGGCAGACCAAGTGTTTATGGAATGTCTCAGCTGCTTGTGGGGTGTGGGGGGAAACGGCTAATGAAATGTTAAGTGTTGTATGAGTTCACCTCTCTCACTACAGCCTGACCCGCAGAGCTTGTTGTTTCACTGGTCAGAATTTGTTTTAGACAAAATGTTCTCTCGCAAACTGAGCAGGGGAAGTGTGAGTGAATGAGGAAAATAACAACAGGTGAATATGAACAGTATATTATTGTGTTTGCCTGTATTCAGCCATTTAAAGGGGCAGTCCAGTGATCTATCATTGCACTTCCATAAAGTTGGGAGAATTATGCAAGACCGATAAAAAAAGAATAGACAAAAAAAAGAATAGACAAAACTGAAGCAGCACAGGTCGACATATGGTGACTTGTTTCTAGTATGGCTCAAGTTCCAAAACCCTGAATCCTACATTTCCCATAATGCAGCTCAGCAGTGTTTCTTAATTAGACATCCTCTGCCTGGTAAACTCCAAAGTTTTTCAAACTCCACATTCACATTTTCTAACACAAGCTTTCTGTCTCCACGCCCAAGCCGAGGTATCTCTGATGACGTCACTACGACAACATCAGGGGTTATTTTCTCAGACTCAGAGCCACAACAGACATTATACAGCCTGACAATAAAAGGTTAAGTCAGCCCCCAATTTGTAAC